TTAATTTCCTGCACCTTGTGCTGGTCTGAAATACGTAAAAAATCAAAATACTGGAAAATACTCTTGTTTTAAAAGAGTGAAATTTATATTCCGAAAAAGGGTGTTAATTTAATTTGTTTGCTTAGGTTTCTCAATATTGTTCCTGAAGTGTAGTATTTATTATGTTTATTTTGCAGTGCGACGTATGGATAAGCTTTCGAATCCACTGCGACGTGTCCCGTCCGACTTGCTGCAGCTTATACCGAGTGGCGACTCATCAGTGTCGTTACCATGCGAAAATGGCATTGAGCCACTGCTTGGTATTGGAGTGCCCAAGGAAATAGCAGTGACCAGCGGTCAGTTACGATTGTCCACATGCATCAAAAGCCCGTTAATTGTGCAGAATAGCAAGAGCAGCAATAACGGCGACGGGGATAATATCACCATCAGTGATAACAGTAATAACACCACTGGCGGTAATGAGAAGAAACGAGTTCGTTTTAATGATGCATAATTATACACTTTAACAGTTCAGGCCTCATTCTTGGGATGCATGCTTTGACGGATTTCATGGGCATTTACCAGTCCCAGTCTTCTTTGCTGTTCTGCAGCTTAAGTAAGACATTGCGTTTTCATACACAATAATCATGAGTAGCAGACAAAACATTTAATGAAAAGGAAAAAATCATTTTTATGTGATCCAGAATTATGATAGATCAGCAGAGTCACGGATGGGACTGGTCTACTTGGAACTCAGCCCTTCTTGGACAGTCCTCAGAAGACCACCGAAAGTTCTAACGGAAATAAAGCTTCTTGCCTCATAAGCGCCTTCCTTTACTATTTGTAGTTGATAATTTTTAATAAATCATCAATTCATTTAATGAATTGATGCAACATAAATTCATTTTGTTTGTACTGTGGAAAAAGCGGCTAACGAATTGATTTTTCCACTTTTTGTTGGCATCTTAGAGGAATAAATGTCCCCGCGAATGCATGCTTCCTTTTTCAACATTTATCATTTGCTGCTCTATGTATAACTGATACAAACGTTGCTTTTTTAACTGCATTTAACTGAAATTATCATTGCTGTTGTTATCGAAATGTACAAGATTTACATTCTCGGGCCTATTGTCCGTGATTGGTGGGCGAAGACGTTGTCGGTCGGTGAAGACAATTGTTCCTGGATCGTTGATGTTCGCGCTGATGGGCATTTTGATTTGTGAAGTGGCGGCTGATAAAGGAAGACGCAAAACGGATCTTCTGCTGACCCTCAGATTAGGATCATTCGCAATGTCTTGTCCCTTCAGAGTTTCGAAAGCAGCCAGTGTGTTTTTGCCTCGCACCGTTCTCATGGAGAGGGAGAGGGGTAGGGGTGAGAAATGAAGCCGAGCATACGTTGCACAATCTTTCGTAATCTAAATTTGAAAGTCCCAAGAATG